CCTGAAACCAAAGCTTACAAAAGCCAAAAACCCCAACAAAAATGAGCATAGCTGTCTGCAGAATGGTGGTAGGGAGCCTGGGGATACAGCGCAGGGTCTCTGGGACATCCTAGGCCTTGAGGTATAACCAATGACAGCTATTTGTTGTTAGAACAGAGTAACTAACAGCCATGATGCTTCCTAAATGCCACACATTAAGCACCCTACATATATTATCCCCTTTAATCTTGAGAGCAACCCCATGAGGGAGGATCAATTCTTGGTTCCCTTGTACATCTGAGAAAACAGACTACTCAGAGAGGTTGTTATTTGCTGAAGGTCACATAGCTAAGTAAAGCAAAGAGCCAGGACCCATCCTCAGGACAGTGGGGCTCTGAGAGCCCAAGCATTTAACCCCCAGGCTGCACTGCCTCTCACATCCTGCTATCATCTCGTGTTCTGGGGGATGCTCTGCAAAAGACTGAAGAGAAAGGAGTTGAACCATAAGAATCTGCTGGCTTTTGTCCAGTGCGATCCAAGGCCAAAAACCCTGAGTCTGGTAGACAGGAGTCCCAGGAGTAGTTACATTTCCTGGGATCAGGAAAGCCGGGTCAGTTTGCCAGAGTTCTCAAGTGCTAACCTGCCTTTTGTTCGGTCCCTCATCTTACAATAATAGAGGCCTGCTGGGCTTCCCACACTGTGCTTGGTCCTGAAGATACATAGTCCTGGGCAGGACAGGCAGGGAAACAAAAACCCTACAACTCAACATGGTAAGTGCCATCTATAAAAGAGGGTCTGAAAAAAAAAAAAAAAGAGGGTCTGAGGGCCAGAGAAGGAAGATGGTGACTAACCTTGCAAGACAGGCTTAAGGCTCAAAAAGGCTGCCTGGAGGACAGAAGGCTTGAACTGAATGTAAGAGAAATATGTACCCACATTTTCTTGTGGCATATTTAGGGTTTTACTTTCCACATTAAAATGTTTTAATATACTGATAATTTATTTTGGTAGAAGGTGTGGTGTTGAAATCTAACTCAATTTACTTTTTGAAATGATAAGCTGGTTGCAAATGGTTTCCAAACAATCCATCCTTCCTCACTCACTTGGAATGCCATCTCTGTCAGATGCTAAACTGGCATACGTTTGATCTATTTCTTCATTTTTTATTCTGTTCCACTGATCAAGGGAGGGAGGTGGTATATTGTAGTGGCAGTTTTGCAGGCTCTGAAGTCAGATTATCTGGGGTTCACTTTGGTTTCCTCATTGTGAAATGGAGATAATAGCACTTACTTCGGATGGTGGCTGTGAAGATTGAATGAGATGATGCATATAAAGTACTCATTATAGTGCCCAGCACAAAGTGATCCATCAGGGAATGCCAGCTGCCATGAGGATCCCTCTCTGCCCTCTCCTGTACCAGTGACCCAGGAGGGTGAAATTACTGAGCCCATAGCTTTGAGTCAGATGGGTCAGCTGTGCTACTTACAATCTGCATGACCTTAGGCAAGTTACTTACCTTTGACCCTCTCTCTGTTTTACAGGTTTCCTCATTCATACATGGGGATATAAAAGTACTTACTGCAGCATGTTGTAAAAACTAAATCTAACAGTGTCACACAGGAGGACACACAATAGTCCCTCGACGAATGTTTATTCTTCTGTAGATTATTATTATAACAATTTATTTCTGCCTTTATATATTTTAGGGCAATCCCCTTCTCATTCTTTCCCCAACAAATTTTCTAGGAAGGGGCAGTCTTTCAGAGCCAGGCCTACTATAGATGAATAAGGTAGAATTTTTGGATCTGCAAAGCTGATACCTGGTCCCTGAACTGTGTTGAAAGTAACAGTGAACTGTGTTGAAAGTAACAGTGACCGGTAAGGTCTTGAGAAAGCAACTTGTAGGATTTGGGGGGATTTTGAAGTTCATATAGCAGGTTTTTAAAAACGTTTTTATTTTGTCTTCATTTTTACTTTTACAAAGGAATTTGCATAGTTTAAAAAGTTGACTAGTTCTAAAAGGCATTTAATGAAAAATAACAGTCCCCTGCTTTGCTTCTCCCACCCCTACACACACTCTTCCATAAACTAGTCGTTTCTTGGCTGCCTCTTCTGGTACTTATCTCTTGTCTTTCTAAATAACATGCTCATATTATTATTTATTTTTTCTATTTTAGATACAATCAGTTGCCTGCCTGTCCTGGAAGATGAGGATATAGTTCTCTCTAATCCTTACTCTCCTAATAGACTCCCCTCCCCCACTCTCTCAATGCAAATATATTCCAATTTTTAGTTAAATGAATACTCAGTGTTTACAGTATTAGGGCTGTGAAAATATTCTTCACAGCTGAGTTATGCAGTGTTTGTACTAAGACTGTGTGTATCTGTAGAAACTTCTTTTGTTAATTAACATCAAGGACACGGGCTGAGATACTTCCTCCTCTAAAATCATTTAGTCACAAATTGCTGTTTGAAAGCAATCAGTGAGAAAGGAACATTTCATTCTTGCCTGGAAGTCTGGCCATGTATCAGTTTGACACAGAAGCAGATTTCCAAACTCAGTGCAAAACTTCAGATACAGTTTGGATACAACATTCTACATTTAATTATGTAGTTTTTTATTATGTAATTATCTAAAATTGATTGTCTTAATTTTGTAGTTTCAAAGTGGACCCTCAGTTCACCTCTCAGCCCAGGCTTGTTGATTCCTTCTCTTACATCCTCATTTACCTTGATCCTATCAAAACCCTGCTTCATTAAAATATTACCTAAACTTAACCCTTTCCCATATCCTGCAACGACCCTGTTTTTTTCATTTGATGAGCCGTACCATAGTTCCTCTGCCGTGTGTTCTCTCTTGCAACAGCGATTTAATAAACCAAATTCTGTCTAACCACAGTTATGTTCCTAATGGTTTTCATCAGTTTTTATCCATTCTCTTTCTTTTACTCAGTGTTTTCCCTAAGGTTGAAAAATCGCCTGACCTTTTCTTTTACTTGGTCTTTTATATATATATTGTGAATTCATTCCCCAAACTCTTTGAAAGATGTATATACTTTTTCTCAATACCTTAAATGCATCAGGTAATCACGTCCCCACACATGTTTTTTGTTTTAGTTTTTTCTTAAAAACACCTTCCTGGAGCCCTTCTTCCTATGGCTCCAAGCTTTACTAGTTGCTCCCCTGCATTTCTTTTTTAAAATATTACAGCCTCTGTTCTAACAGTACGTCAAGGCATCCCGGTGGTTGTCAATGCAGCATCTGCTTTCTTGACTCCTGCTTTCCCCCGCCTTCGCAGGAGGGGCCAAGTGTTTGTTTCTCCAAAGTCTATCGCGGCGCTCAGGAAACGTTCGAGTGAATAAAAGAGTAAATAAGTGAGTGAATGAATGAATGGGATCTCTATGCGTAAGTGAAGTTTAAAGAGAACGGTACTACATACCCACCAAAGTGCTAAATTCTACAAGCCCCACGCCAGCTTGGAGCAGGACACCGAAGCCCCTAGGGGCCCAGAAAGGAGTTTGCGGGGGCAGATTCCGTTTAATTCAGTTTCGGTAAGACCGCGGCCGCCCGAGGTGGACTACAAGTCCCATAAGGCCACGCGGAAAGAGGTGCGCGAGCCGTTAAGGACTTCCGGTCGCTGAAGCAGGAGGCGCGCGGGCAACGGAGACCCGCGGCAAAGGGTAAGTGGGTTGAGGGTTGAATGGAAAGCACTACGAGGGCGAGAGCGCTAGAGAAGTGGCACGGGGCGTGGGTGAGGTAGGACAGGGAATTGGTATTAAATGAAGAGGGGGTGGCAACCAAAAGTAGCAAATACTCAGAAGAGGGACCCCCAGCAGGGCTGCAGTCTGAAGGAGCACAGCATGCTGCAGGCGAGAGGGTGGAAGGGACCTCGAGCTTTGCCTTCTCTTCCCACAGTGACATGACGAAATTAGCGCAGTGGCTTTGGGGACTGGCACTTGTGAGCGCCACCTGGGCGGCCCTGACCCTCGGAGCCGTGGGCCTGGAGCTGCCCTCGGCATGCCGGGAGGTCCTGTGGCCACTTCCCGCCTACTTGCTGGTGTCCGCCGGTTGCTATGCCCTGGGCACTGTGGGCTATCGCGTGGCCACTTTTCACGACTGCGAGGATGCCGCCCACGAACTGCAGAGCCAGATCCAGGAGGCCCGAGCCGACTTAGCCCGTAGGGGGATGCGCTTCTGACACCCTAACCCCATTCAGGCGGGCGCGGCCTACGCTCCCTCCCCCATTAAAGAGCAAGTTCTTTTTTTTCTCTAACTTTGTTTAGTGGGAGTATGGTGAGTGGGAGTTAGGGGTTCTGTGTACCAGTTGTTGAGAAATGAGAGGTAGATGAGCTGCCTTCCTGAGATGCCTCTGTTTTTGCATCTTGCTGGTGTTCCTTTTTGTTCGAGGCAAAGACCCTTTCTCAAGGTCTCTCAGGATGGAAATGTCATTTCACTTTCTTAGTCGTTTTAACCCTGTCAGGAAGTACTTCTTTAAGCCTAACTTCCATTCTTCATAACATCCAAGCTCTGTTCTTTTTATTATTATTTATTAAAGTATCATTAATATACAATCAACAGTCCCTGTAATCAGTTTATATTGTGATTGCAAATTATTATGCCCCTTTACCCGCCTCCACTCTCCCCAACCCCTCCCGCCCAGTAACCACTAGTTACTTTCAGCGCCTATGAGTCTACTGTTGTTTGGTCCTTCTGTTTTGCTTTGTTTTTATATTCCACAAATAAGTGAAATCATACGGTATTTGTCTTTTTCTGACTGGCTTATTTCACTAAGCATAATACCCTCTAGATCCATCCATGTTGTTGGAAATGGCAGGATTTCTTTTCTTTTTATGACAGAACAAGCTCTGTTCTTTTTAATGCTTTCCTAGGTCTTTCCAACCTCTTGGTCAGATACCTTTTCTGAGCTAACCTTAGCAACCCAAGAATAACTGCAGGTCCAGCCAGTGCAGCTCTACCCTTCCCCAGACCAGGCAGGCTGAGAATCACTGAACACAGCAGGAACCTTGAGGGGCAAGGATAGGGAAGTTTATTTTAAGGCACATTCTAAAGATTTCACCCCAACCTCCAAAATTAGAAAATAGGATCTCTAAGAAATAAAGTGGTTCATCTCCTAATCCTCTAACTAAAACTGTTTCTTTTTTGGTTTCTCAATTTTCAGTTACTTCTTTCCCACAACCCACTGCACCTGGGGAACTGGTTGGCAGGAACAGCTGAAATTAGGCACTCTCTTTGGTAATAAGTTGGCCTTAAGGTGCCAGTGATCAGGTGAACTGCCTCAGGTTTGCAGGAGCTGATAGTTCCTGTCTTGCTTGTGGGGGTACTTCCAGAAAAGCCAGAAGCGAATGAGGCTGGTGAGGATCCCTGGGAAGTTGGGCACCTGAAATCACAAGGGCCGCCATGAGGAAAGGAGCCGATTGCCCACCTTGCACATCTGTGACACCATCTCTATTCTGCTTACCATGATGTAGGGATCTCTGAGTCGAAACCCGTAGAGGGTCCAGGAGGTAGAGGTCAAGAGGGTGGCAATGGTGAGTGAGAAGGAGAGACGTTGAGTTGATTTAGTCTGAATGACCTTGGCCTGTGGGAAAAGGATGAAAGACAATCCTAGCCCAGACACACAGTGAAGCTCCCACCTTGCCTAAGAATTTCTTTAGAAAAAGTCAAATATCCTCCCTATTCTGTTACCCAAACTTTTCCTCTGGCCTCCCACTCACCCTCTTCTACTGCCCTGTCTCCTTCTAGAGTTTCGGATCTTCCCTTTCTCGTCAGTGTAAGCCACAGTCTCTAGCTAGTAGGAGCCCGATCCTTCTTATCTCCCCCACCTGGACACCCTCACTCACCAAGTCAGCCAGTGGTGAGAGGTACATACTGATGGTGCAGGCACTGGAGAAGAGGCCCAGCTGCTGAAGCCGGGCCTTAGGGTCTGGCACCACCAACCATAAGTAGCAAAAACCCAGGAGAAGGACCCCCAGCAGGACTGCAGTCTGAAGGAGCACAGTATGCTGCAGGGGAGAGGGTAGTCTCACTTGTAGATGTATCAGGAGCCCTCTCTGACTCCCCTGCTGGAATTAATTCCTCCTGCTTCGTCCCGTGCTCCAGTGGCAGAGCCAGCCGTTCTCTAAGCTTAAAGGCTTGCACTTGCCACAGCCTATTTCCCTCCTGGGACTTGAGAACGTGTCTAATCCACCCACAATCACCCAGTGATTCCACCCACTGGAAGTTTCTAGGAGAGGGAAAGGTATTTTTGTGAACCTGGTACCTACATTAGCAGCTTAATAAATGCTTGTGTTGATTGAATGGGGAAACAGAGCTGATCAACTCATTCTCAATCACTGGCCCTTGCTCTAAAGGAACTATGGGGAGACAAAAGCCCTTTCCCCTCAGCTTGTTGGGCAGCAAGGTACCATCAGGCTAGGCAGAGCTACCAGCTTGCCACAATAGGGGGGGTAATGACTGCAAGGCTGGAGCGGCTTTCCAGGAAGAGGTGCCAGTGCCTGCCTGTTAAGAGTCTTCTAGGAAGCACTGTTTGCCCTGCCAGCAAGGCAGGGCGTGTAGCAGAAAGGTGGGTCCAGGAGAAAGGCCTCTACCTTTCGAGGGCAGTAGTGCAGATATACCAAGATATACAGGGTCTGAAGCACAGCACCCACGGTGTTGACGATGATTAGAGTCCCATCACCCTTCAAGGCCCCATAACTCAGCCAGCTCAGGTTGCTGCAGGGTGGAAAGGAGGGAGATACGCCCCGCGGAGTTGAGTGTGGGAGTGGGGCCTGAGAGGGGGGGCCTCTTCCACATTCCTCCTCCCACTCCCTCACCTCCCTTAGATAGCCTCTCCCACCGCAGCCGTCTCCCCTCTCACTTGAAATCCGTGGTGAGAAAGGGCAGGAACTGGACACTGTCCACGCTCCGAGTCATCCGCATGTGCCTGAGGTCCGAGCTGTAACGGAGCCCCGAAGGCATGGGTGTAAGGTGGGAGGGCAGAACCAGGCTGCTGGGAAGTCGAGATCCCCGATACCTGTCATCCTCCCTGCACCGCTGCAGGCCCCCTGGCCCCGCCCTCAGCTCCCTTGCCTTCTTTCTCAGGTCAAGTGATCCGCCTCGCCCTCGTACCCCGACCCCCAAAACCCTATTCCACTTTGACCCCAGGTTCCGGACGCAGCCTGGGGCTGCCGCCACGTCTCTGTCCCCCGTTTCTCCTTTCCTGACTTCCTGGTCCTGCCCAGCCCGGCCCGGCCGCGCTCTCACAGGCCGGTGGAGAACATGCCGAGGGTGAAGAGCACACAAGCTCCGGAAAGGAGCGAGTCGGCCACGCCGCCCGCCTCCATCCCTCCCGGAGCCGGAACCCGCGGTCCACCGCCGGCGACGCCGGAGTCCCGCCCCTCGCGTCTCCAGCCCCGCCCCCGTGGCATCGGCCGTCCCACCGGAAACTGAACCGGAATCCCGCCCAGCCCTAGAACCTCAAGCCGGAATCAGGCCCAGCCCCTCCGAGCGCTGGGCCGTCTCTGCGGGCCTGCGGCAGACACGCAGGATTCCTGTCCTGGCGGCGGCCTGCAGATCCCAGCCGGACCCCTTCCTACGGCTCTGCAGATTTGTGCCCGACACCCGCCGTTCCTCTCCTGCTTACTCCCTGAATCATTTAGACCCCCATCCTCAACTCTTTCCCACAGGCCGCGAACCTACTACGTAGTAGACCTCAAAAGCTTGCTAGACCCAACCAGATTTCAACACGCTTCTCATCAGAGCTCCAGATCAGAACCTCAGATACCCAGAGCTTGGTAGGTTTTCCTGAAGCCTCTTGTTTTTTCCCCCAAATAACAGGGGTAGCCAGGTATCACAAGTCTGTCAGGTGCCCTCTCCCTTTGGCCACACTGCCAACTTGCCATGACTTGGCCAGCCCACTGAAACGCGCATCACTGACCTCCTGGTCCAACCAAGGCTGCTGGCAACTTTCCCTCCCAGCTTCCCACATGTCCCTGTTGGTGGGGCTGTGGGGTGGGGTCGCATGCCTCAGCCGGCAGCTGCCCTGACTCACCCAACAGCAAGAGTACCTGAACAACACGCCAAAGCCAGGCACTGAGAAAGTGGGAGTGAGGCAGAGGTTAGACGGGAAGAACTTCCAGAGTGGGGTGCAGCCTAGAACCTGAGCGACTGCTGTGGGGAGTGCTCCTGTGTAGGGCAACCCTCAGAGGAGGAAACACCCCACCCTTTTGGGCTGGTGATGGGCATATTTTTTTCCCCTTTCCACAGAGAGGGGAAAAAATTTCAAACCCAATCGCTACCAGAGTTGCACAGAGCCTAGCACATAGCAGGGACCAGTGTTCACAAATTAGGATGGAGGGCCTGAAAAGCATGTCCAAAAAGACAAACACATTGCTTTATTTTGAGACAAAGAACATTGTATAAAAAAACTCCAGTTGTAGAAATCAGCACAAACACACATCAAGTTTATATACAGACTCTATACACGTGGGCCCTGCCCTTCAGGCTACACTCTAGGCACAGACTCTGTGCTCATGGGCACTGCCCTCAGAGCTACACTCTTAAGAACAAGTTGGCACAGCCCCCCCAGTGGCACAGCTCTGGGGAGTGCTGCCCCAGGATGGGAGAGGATGCACACCCCTCTGTGGCAGGTCCATAGACAGAAGTCTTGGGGGAGATGTGGGGTCAGCCCAAGCGTGCTGCCTCTCTTGTCCCTGGCTCCCAAGCAGGCAACTCTCCTGCTTTTCCTTCAGTTAGTTCATCTGGGCATCCTTGGCTCTCTCTGGGAGGGGCATCTTTGCCAAGCTCAGTGTCCCATCTGCAGGACCCCAGGCTCCTTCCAACTTGGCTCCCACAGTGCCCTTTTTAAGAGGCTGTATCTGCACAGTTTGTTTCTTTGGCTTAAGGGCAGAAATGTTGGGGAAAGAACTGTCCCCACTTCTGTGTCCATCCCTCTGAGGTGGAGGTAGGGGTGGCACTGCCCAGCTTGCAGACCTCCTTTGGGTTGAAACCCTTAATACTGACCCGTTTTGAGGCTGCTGGCTGGCAGCTTGTGCATGTGATGGGAGTGGTTCCCAGGAATGGGGCTTTGGGAGGGGCCCCAGGACAGGTGAGGGGTGCCTGCGCTTGCCTCCTCAGCCCCGTTCCAAGCCTTAGGCCAGATGTGGTATACATCTTCATGGGGTTTGCAGCAGCAGGAGTGGAAGGAGCAACACAGCCCAGGCAAGTGGGAAGAGGCGGGGGGCAGCACTGTGACCAATGCTGTGTAGAACCTGCACCTCTGGGTCATCTGTAAGGTGAGAGGGCAAAGGCCCCCAAGGTGAGAGGCCCAGTTGCTGGCACTGGCCCCCAGAACCCAGTAAGGTTTCCCCAGCCCCTGTCCAGCAAAGGAGCCACCGCCTGTACCAAACCTCCTCAAGCAGTCCCCCTCTGTGCCATGAGCCTAATTTGCTCCAGCTACCTACCGGCTGGAAGTCTCTTCTCTTGTGGATTGGCATGGACCTGAGGGCTGTGAGCTGAAAGACAAGAGTGGCTGTAGATCAGGTACTGGACTGGGGAGGGAGAGGGATGGGAGTGCTGGCTGGGCTGGGCAGTGGGATCCTGGATCACTAGACCAGGCCCAGTACAGAAATGCAGGCAAGAGGCCCCCAAGACCCTGACACTCACTGATTTTGCCATTGACGGTCACCTTCAACCTTAAGCACCGGTGGTCTTGGTGGTAGATGGGTTTGGCTGCAAGATAAGCCCACAGGGTGTTAAGGAAGGAACCTTTGTTGGAAGAAAATATAAGCACAAATGCCTCTGGCCCTGGTTTCTTTGTCTCTACTCATTTTAATCCCTCTCTTCCCTCTAATCTTTAATCCTTACCTTCCTTAGTTTTTGCCTACTTTCTGAAGTCTTTGGGATACCATTGGCTTTAGTGGTGGTGGTAAAAGGAAGACAGACACTGTCCCTTCCCCACAGTCCATCCCTCACTCCTCCCAGCCTGAAGTTGGATGAGACCTTCACAGAATGCTCCCTTTCCCTGGCCATTTTATAGTCCCCCTGCCTGGGCCCCACTGACAGGGAAAGGCCTGGACCTATTCTACACAAAGCTGATCTTGTAACTCTTAAAATCCAATACTGTCTCCACTGTTCTCAGGATAAAGTCGAACCTCCTTAGCACTTCTTAGGCCCCTATGATCTGCACTGTCCACCTCTCTGAGCCCTCCCCACTCCTGCCAGGCTGAGCCACAGGGAGTTCCCTGAAGATACCTTGCTCCCTTTGCATGTGTTGCCTCAAACCTAGCCAGCTCCTCTGCTTGTCTTAAGCTTTTGGGTTTTCTTCCCCAGGAAGCCTTCTCTGAATCCCCACCCCTGCCCGGCAGGTACCGAAGTCATTTTGCCAGGGCCCCTGTGCTCAGATCTAACCATATTGTACTGTTCTAATGCTATGTTAATCTATGTGTGTCCCTTCCCAGCTTCCTGACAGGGATCCTGTAATGTTTTATTTATCTCTGTGCCTATAGTGCCAAGCAGAGTGTCCAGTGCACTGTAGAAGTGCACTCCACATTTGTAATGTGAATGAATGAGAACAGAATTCAGGATTGGAAGGGGCCATGTGCTGCCCGACTCCCTAAGCATGTACCCAAGCATATGCACCACACTGGCTGAGGCCCCCAGTATAGGCACCTGTCTGCATGCCTCCCAGGTACTCACAGATGTAGTAGTAGCTGTGTCCCTCTTTGAACTCTTTGCCCAGGGTAAAGGGTGTGAAGCGCTGAAACTTCTCTGATAGCTTTTCCGGGCCATGTCTGGCATTGGGCTGGTTGCACTGCCAGCGGACCTGGTCTTTGGATTGGGGTTGGCACAGTTGGTACTGTTCATGCTCCACCAGGTACAGTGTGTACTGCTCCATGGCAGCGTCTCCCACAGTCTCATCCTCGTAATGTGGGCAGATGATGTCCAGGTAGTCATTCAGCCGCACATGTACTGTGTAGTCCTCATTCCGGAACCTGGGCATGCGCAGACGGGAAGGAAGCAAGGCGGCTCAGAAGCCAGACCAGTCTTGAGCCTCCAAATGTTTACATGCCCCTTATATTTCATACTGCTCCCCCTAAAGGTTTTTTGAAAGTCTCAACTCTTAGTATTTACTGATCTTGATCTCTTAAATATCCTTCTACCATCTCCAAACATTCTCCCCACCATCACTGTCTCCCATTAGTCCTCTAAATAGCATCCACTTAGTATCTTTCAGGTACCAAAGCACTTCCCATAACCCCCTGATATTTACTAAGGATGGGCTTCTAAATACTTCCTTAGCTCACTCATCATTCACTTTTACCCATAAATATTTCCCCAAATCTGTTTCTACCAGTTGCTCCTTTAAATGCTCTTAGACCTCAGTCTCAGACCCTAGTGGCCCATTCTATAATCAGGATCCAGAACCCCTTTCTCTTCACCATGCTAGCCTCAGCCCCCACACATGCACATCTTCACCTTTCGTACTCCTCTCCTTTTGCTGAGCCACCAAGTGTATCTCACATTTCTCAGCTTCGCTTTCCTCCAGACGCCCAATACACCCAGGCTCACAGATGATGCCCAGACCTTCAAATGAAATCACTTACAACAATTCATTCTAGCTATTCGTACTTATGCTCAGGTCTCCTTGTCCACTTCTCTCAAAGCACTCCAAAACTTCTGGGGCCCTCTATCACCAAAAGCCACACACTCCTACCTCCCTGGAGATGAGCTCCCGAAATGCTGGAGTTCTCAGACTTGAGACTGCCTCTCCCCTCCCTCCCCTCCTCCCAAGGTGGAGCCAGCTCCCCTCCCCCAGCCCATTCCCCCCAGGCTCCACAGGCTCCAGCCTGACTGCCCACCGGCCCCTCCCCCAGCTCCAGACACCTGGCTCCAGTCTGGGTGGGGTCCTAGCAGGGGGAAAAGTGCCTCCCCACCTCCCTCTCTAAGCTGGTCAGCTTCTCTAAACTCCCCCAAGCATTGCCAGCTACAGACTCATCAGAGTTGGCTGCCAACTTGCTTCAAACCAAAGCCCAGGGCATGGGGGTGGGGTGGGGTGGAGGGGCAGGAGTTAGGCCCAGAGGCCTCTGAGGTGGGCACCCACTGTCCAGTCAGCATGACCCCTAAGAGGCGGGGCCTTGCAGCAGCCTGCCAGTACTCAAGCTAGGCTTACTAGGGCCCTGCCCCCACCCTGGGGAAAAGAGAGAGAGAGAGAAAGAGAGGAGCAGAGAGAGGCTTTTAAAATTCCTCTCTGGAGAGATAAACATAGAAGCCATTTCAGAACAGGTATTTCAGCTCTGGGCCTGGCGTCTTTCCCCCATTCCCGTGACGGGCACTGACTCATTCCTCACCCACCTCTGCCACCCGCCCCAGATTCATGAGAGCCTGTACAAATTCACCTTGGCAAATGTGGACATCCCCCAGGACCCCAGGATGACACAGTGCCCACTTGCCCTAGGCACTGGCAGGTCTGAATGGGCAGGCTACCTGCCCCTCCAGCACCAAGGAGGCCAGTGCCAAGCTCACAGGGGCACCACCCTTCTTCGCACGCTGCCCCAGCCTGGGGCCTGGAGATCTCCATGGCCCATGCCCACTGCCCTGAGTCACCCATGCCAGCCTCACACCCGAGCAGCTCATGGCCACCTCATCTTTGCCCTCAAGCTGAGCCCACTTGGCTGCCTGTAGATTCCACTCTGGGCTGGCTTCTCTTTAGTCCTGAGTATGGTAGGCTGTGTGTGTGTGTTTGTGTGTGTGGCCAGATGGACAGGGGAGAAGCCGTGCTTGGTGGGGCACCCATCACCCCCCTCCTGGTGGCACAATCTGCTCCACTTCATGCTCCTTTGACTCCTGCTATCCATCTGGGAAAGGGGACAGCGGCGTCAGGGAAGGCGGGGAAGGGGGGCAAGGAAGAGGCTCCTTCCTGAAAGAGAGGAAACCTGGGAGCTTGGGAACGGAAAAGGCTAAGGTCCCCCCCTCCCTACTCCGGCTTCCTGTTCCCTCCTCCTCCTTCAGCCAACACCTGGCATGGACATAAACAGGGACTTTGCTCTCTCCCACTAGAACAAGATTGGGTCAAGGAAGCAAAGACTAAGCAACAAGGAGTGGGGTGGGGGTAACTGGATGGCGAGTGGGCAAGAGGGCATTGCTCTCTGGGGTTGGCAGCGGGCTCTTTCCTTCCCGCGCAACATGCCACAGACGACAGACCCCCCACCAAACAATGCTGCCACAGGGTCAGAAGAAGCTGGCACAACATATTTCTCAAGGGGAGTAAGGGACAGGCACGCTAGGGCTGGGGTGGCTAAGCTAAGTGAAGCATTTTTTCCTGACCCCAAGCGGCACAGCCCTCCTCGCCCTGCTCCACCCTACCCCCCTCTTCAGTTTTCCCGCAAATATTGTTCCTATAACTACAGAAAACTCAAGGGCAAGAACAAAGGGTGTAAGCAGGAGCTTCTTCCTTTAGTACCATTTGCCTCACAGCCCTAAACGTACCCAGCAGAAATTAACTCCTTCCTGCCCAGCATCCTGGCAACCTTATTAACCCCTTCCATTCCTTCTAAACATTTCCCATGAACTCCCGCCCCACCCGTTTTCAGTTTTACAACTTTATCTAAAGAATAGGTGACTCTCTCAGCCAACCCCCACATAGCATGTGCCTCATTCATGCTACCTCAAAAGATCCCTTGTGGGAGAGGGCTTCCCAGGGACACCTTAAATACAGAATGAACTTCTAATGTCCACAGCCCAGATCTCTCCAGAAGGGTCCTTCCAGGATTACTGTGAAAATTCTGCTTACTTCTGATGTCATATCAAGTACCTGTCACTGTGGACAGATGCCCAAATGACACACAAGGAGAGGCAGGGAAGCTTCCGTGGTGGAAGGGCCTAGAACAAGAGCCCTGGCCGCCAGGGAGGTGCTCCATGCAGGAGGCAGGAACATCAGCATGGATCCTTCACTTCGGAGTAAAAGGGGTGCCAGAGGGAAGGAAAGGAAGTACAGAAATAGTGGCAGTACAGGCAGGCAAGGGCAGGTTCTTGCTCTGGGGTCGGGCATTCCCAGTTAGGGGGGAAGAAGTGAGGGGAAGAAAACCTACGAAATCCCTCCCTCCTCTGGTCACCTCCCAAGACACCGGTTCAGGGGCTGGCCAGGGCAGTTAACCTGGGTGGCGGGGGCGCGGTGCTAATCGGGCACCCAGGCTGTCAGCCACAGACTCGGGGCTTACTTGGGGTTTGAACTGTTCCAGAAGACGGTGTGGCGGTCAGCAGCGGCCAGACTGCAGCACAGACCCAAGAGAGGGGCCCAGAGGAACTCCATAGCGCGGGGCCTGGGCAGGCCGGGCGAGGACGAGGGGCTCCTCTCGGGGGTCTGAGTTCCCGCTGGCTTTCTCCGCGGCGCTCTCGGCACAGCGCTCACAGCTCTGGCCCCTTCGCCTCTCGACTCCGCCTTTTGGGCCGGCGCCGCCAGCCACCCCGCCCCGCCCCCGCCCCGCCCCGCGTGAGGCCCTGGGGCTTGGGGGCTGGGGAGGTGGAGGAGGGGAGGATCCGGGACGCTCGGGGAGCGACGCGCAAGCCCCAGCCCCAGGACCAACCTGCCCAGCGCGGCGTGTTCACTCACTTGTGGGTCTGCGTGCAGCTTTGAGGGGTGTGCGGAGTGGTGGGGCCTTAGTCCCCCGGGCACGAGAAGGTGGGGCTGAGTCCCCGGGAGGGAGAAGGGAATGAACTCCACGTGCAGGTCCGCCAGCACGCGGGTGCGGGACCCAGCTTTGCTGCGCCCCGCGCGCATCTTGCAGGGTGCAACATTGTTGATAGGTCCCGCACCTTTCCCGAGCCTCTCACAGCCAGGCTTATGCGCCCGCCTTCCCACACTTCCCTCATACTCCCCCATCCCGGACTCGGCGCTCGGCTGCTCCTCCCCACACACGCGGCTGTTTGTTTTTGTTGGGTTTGTCAATGTTGCCTTTGTTCGGGAGATTGTGTCATCGCCTAGATGCCGGGAACAAAGTGCGACCCTGTGTGATTAAGTGCGTAACGTGTGCGGTCGGGGCTAAGGGCGCCTCTGTCCGCTCGGGACAAAGGGAGGGACACTCGGGATCCTGGGCCTTCCCTCTTGTTTCTGGTGCGCCAAAGGGCACTAATGACCTGTGTGTGTGTGCGCGCGCGCGCCGCGCCAACACACGTGCACCCTGCAAACGGGCTTTGAATATGGACTGTGAGAATCTGGGCACTAAGGGTGACAAACTGTAACCACACATGTGCATCTGGCATGTGTAACTACGTGTGATGGAGCGCAAGTGTGAAAGCATTTGTTAGTAGTATCACAGTCGCCTGTGGGGAAGCGTGTGAAACTTTGACGTATGTATACTAATGTTTGTGAACTGCGTGTGGAGAGGAGGGGAAAGGTGTACGGACGAGCAGCGGTCGTGGGGACGCGCGGGGTGTTTGTGCGAGTCGCCAATCTGGGCTTGGTCTCCAGTCAGTCAGGCCCCAGTTCCCAGTTCGTCCCCCCTCCCCCGCGCCATGAAAACAAACCCGCTGGAATTCGCCTTTCGGGGCTCTTCACCCCCTCGGGAGCCACTGCAGTCTGGAGAAGGGTTGGCGGGTGGTGTCTGCCTCCCGGCTCTCCGAGTGGAGAGGGCGGGCTGGTGTTTGATTAGGCTCGTGTGTGTGTGTGCGTGTGTGTGTGTGTCTAGAGCGGGAGGGCCAAACGTTATGTTTCTGCGGCATTTGGTGGCTTATGTGTGATTGTGTGGCTGTTTGTATGCGCCCCCCGCTTGGTGGTGCGAGTAGTGTGCACCCCTGGCCAGCACTTCCACGCGGGGGCGTACCGCGGGAAGCTACAAACCCGCGGCCCCCAGCAGGCTCAGGCCCAGCTTCCCCGGTTCCCAGGCCGTTTCATCCTCCTCTTTTACGGCCAGGCCTGGCGACAGCCTCTGTAATTACGCGGGGCCGAGACGCCGCGGCTAGTCGGGCGCTGACCGCGCCGGGGAGGAGCTTGGGACAGGGGACGGCCCGGGCCGGCCCCCACCCGCCGTGGGGCGCGAGCTGCTAGAGGCCTGACTTGCCGAGCTTAGGATAAATATTTACCAAGGTGCTCGCAGCCGGATCGGGTCTGCTTTTGCACACAGCCTCCACCCCTTACCCCCTCCATCCCCTGGCTTGCACCTGCTGCAGGCGACGTGCCCAGCCCCGCGTTTACGGAGGTGCGGCCCGCCCCTCCCGCTGGGGCCGAAGTCTACCCGCCGACCAACCCCAGGGCAGCGCCTCACGCGCGTTTTGCTCACCTGGGCAGACATCTGGGTGTCGTCCTTCCACGTGCCCCCCGGAGAGATCACCCCATCCCTGCTCGTGTGTCCCATAGAACCGAAGCCCCACGAGGGCAGGGTTTTTTGATTCACTGCTGTTTGGCCAGCGCCTGGCACAGCGCCTAGTACACGTAGTAGATGGTCAATAAATATTTGCTGAGTGAGATCACAGTTCAGTGAAGGTACTTCTAATGGACCTACTGCTCTGAAAAGAAACCAGGAGAGGGGTTACACAGAGGAAGGGTGGTGGTAGCTCTACAGAGACGGTGGCCCAGGATTGTCCTCTGGAGGTTTGGGGCATGTTTCCCTGTGTCTCTGACAGCTGGACTGCTTGCTGGACGGGAACGTGTGGGGTCCCTGGGCTGCACCGCTAGGGCCGGGCAGGCTCAGGCTCGCTTGGCCCAGCCCGGCGGGGCCACGTCCGTTCCCGCCCTGCCTGCGTCTAGGGCTGCAGCAAGCGGAATGCAGAAGAGGTGAGGGGAAATTCTGGGCCAGAACTTGACATGGAACCCTCTTTCCCAGGCTTGGCCCTCTCCCCAGTATTCTCACTTCAGGCTTTGATCTCATCACTCTTCTGTCCAAACAATGGTGCGTTTGGGGATCATTGGTCAGACCTAATGGCACCCCAAGGCGCCGGGTGTTGTAATGGGCACCGAGGGTAAGGGTGTTTCTAAGTTCAAATCTCTACCCTTGGGGAGCCCCTTGACCAGGAGGGGAACTGGACAAGCCACCGTTCATAGAAAAACTTACCAAGTGCTAATAGCTCAGACCCACAGCACGCACTCGCACTGCCCGGACACCCCTAGAGCTGCTGTGACGCCTGGCGGACCAAGAGGAGAGTTGCAGGCACTGTGCGATGCAATCGCAGCCCAATTTAAGGGATTAAAGACTGCAAGCCTGGACCTCAGGCTGCAGACAACTCAGCCTCCATCCCGTCCCATCACAGCCCCCAGCCTGCCCGGACGGGTCTAGTCTTGGTTCTTGCTGTGGGCCACCTCTCACCACAAAGTGGTGCGCCTGAGCTGGCTTTCAGCAATGCCACCCCCAGGCAAACATCTGTGCTAGGTGGCAGGAGCTGTCTGAGGTGACTGTCTGCCTGTCTGGGAAATTCCCCTGGTGAGTACTCTGTGGGAATTCCTGAGGGGCTTAACTCTTTGAGTGCCTTGGGAGAGGCCTGACCTCTGGAAGCGGGGTACTGTCCACTTGAAATGCTATTTCTAGTCTGGAACAGGTAGAGCTATTTTGATTGTTTCTCCCTTGCTGAGCGGCCAGTGGTTTACAGTGTGTGGGGAAGGACAGAGCCACAGGGCCTTGGGGCACCCATTTATCTGGTGCAGCCCCTGAGGGCATCTCTGGGCAATGGGGTGAGGGGAGGGCTGCTTCAGTGGAATCCTGAGCCTGGAGCAGTCTCTGCTCCACTCCTCACCGTCATTTTGAAAAATAAAGTGTATGTTTCCCATTTTATTAGTAATGTGTGTATATTTTTCAAAAGTTAGAAAATAGAGAACAGGGGAATAAAGGGAAGGACTCACCAGCCACTATTCCCATCTTTGTCCCTTCCATGACAGCCTTTTGCTTGGAGATTTTCTTTGCTCGTTTTTAGATAGTGTGATAAACATGACTCATTTCTACTATGTACTTCTTCTCCCTTTAACTTTACAACAGAAGACATTTTCCATGTTGTAAATGCTATATAAACAGTATTTTTCACAGCAGTGTAATGTTTCATTAAGTGGGTGTTTCAGAGTTTGCCACTGTAACAATACAGGGTAGAAATAAATGCATTCACACGCACACTCAAGCATGCCTCAGCTGCTAAGCAGTTGAGTTGACTGGCTCTTAGAACTTAGAAATAACCCTGAGATTGACTTCCAGTCAACAAACATTTACGGAGTACCCACTCTGGAATGGGCTCTGGACTGGGGCTGGGAACTTAGTGGAGGAAAATAGGTGAAGGCCCTGCTCTCATGGAGCTTACGTTTTAGATGAAATCTGGGCATCTTCTTTTCTATATTTTAGAGAATTTCACAGATGTGAGTAAATGCTTTTGATACTGCCAAACCAGAGCCAGAGTCTTTTGACTACTAGTTAAGTTGTTTTACTGAGGACCAAGGTGACCAAAACCTAATGGATCTGTCCCTTCCCCACATCCAGCTCAGGATGGGGCCAGACTCCATGGGAGAAGGTGGAATTCTTCCCCTGGGAGCCCACTGCAGGGAAGGGTGGTTTGGGAAGGAGATGGGAGAGACATTGCTAAGGAGGGTGGGAGGGACTGTGGTTTCTGCACAGAAAACACCAGAAGGTGTCTTGTACTGTCGCCTTTTCCAACAAAAATTGATTGATCGCTAATGTTGAACACTGTCCTGGGAGGCCCTGGCAACTCTGAAATATATCCTGGCCCTACAGGAATCTAGTCTGCTGGCAAATATATAATTAGAATATAGGAATTTAATAAAAGTACAAGTGGAATAACAGGCTTCCTCACAGAAGAAGCAATGTTTCTTCGGGCAGAGGAGGGGATATTTGAAATGGGTTTTGCAGGATAAGTAGGCATTCACATTCAGGGATGAGGAAACAAAACACAGGTAGATGGGTGAGAGCTTGTGCAGCGAATGCTCTCGTGTAGCTAGAATTACAGAATGGGCCCGGGAGAGAGGCGGGAGGTGAGAGCACAAGGTGGTTTGGGGGCCACACTGTCAAGGGCCTTGCATGCCAAACTCAGGATTTTGAACATTATTCTGTAGTCTGTAGATGCGTAAGTAGGAAACATACTCAGACGTGCATTTTAGAGAAATCACTGTGGATAACGGAACTTGGGTAGAGGAGGGAGCTCAGAAGTAGGGGGCTGGCTAGGCCTCAGCTGTAGGAGCTCTGTGGGAGCGAGGAGGGCTTGATGCTGAGTAGTGACAGGCTAGAGAGCAGAGCTGAACTGTGGGCATGAGGCAGGGAGGGGTCTGGCTGGCTTGGTGGGCAGAAGGGCCACTTGGAGACAGAAAGGAGAGGAGCAGACCTGGGAAGGATGGATGGAGAGTGCTGTTTTGGATGTGTGTCAATTAGGAATGATCTGGGCTGCAGATAACAGAATACCCACCTACTAGCTGAGTAGACAAGAGGTTTTATGTTTCCCCCATAACAAAGCACTTCTGGAAGTGGGACAGCAGCTCAACAGTGTGGTCAGGGACCCAGTGCTCTGGGCCTTTCTGCTTTGCTGTCTTCCTGACCCTTTTTACAAGGTGGCTGTGTCAGCCATAGAGCTACATTCAAGCTACAGGAGCCACAGGAAGAAGGGGTGGGAGCAACACAAGGCATCTTGCAACACAAGACATTCTCCTTACAAAGGTCCCCTTTTATCTGGTAAGAAAATTTTTTCTAGAAGCTTCCTAGACAACTTAGCCTCAGGAGACAGAACTGGCTTAGAGTCCATGGCAACACCTGCATCTGTGAAGGAGGAGAAGGGACTGGCCTGACGTGGGCGGGGGCCCTTCTCCCCTAAATGGGATTGGTTCTGCTCCCCAAAGAAACTGGAGCGTGTTAGGCTGGCAGTAGAGATGAGTCCTGAACGGTGCCTGCCTACGGCAGACGTGTTGCATTTGAAGGGCCAGCAGAAGAACTTCCATGGGGAGGTGTCCCAGGGGCAGCTGGAGGTGGGGGTCTGGAGCTCAGGGGGGGAGTAGGAAGCTCAGAATACTTACTGCTTTGGAGTGTCTTTGTGCACCTTG